TATGAGTGAACAGTGTAACACTGTTGCGAATAAAATAAACATCATCCTGAGTTGTATAGCAGGACTATTTTAAGTAAGACACAAGAATTCTTCCACTCTACTCTACACTGATTAGGCCTCAACTGGAGAATTATGTCCAGGTCTGGGCACCACATTTCAGGAAAAATATGGACAAATTGAGAAAAATCCAAAGAAAAGCAACAAAAATAATCTGTCTAGAAAACATGACCTGTGGGGGAAGACTGAAAGAACTAAGTTTGTTTAATGTGGAGAAGAGAAGACTGAGAGGGAACATGATACAGGTGATCCCCGCACTTACAACCTAATTGATCCCTGGAAAACCATTGTACGCCGAGCTGTCATAAGTTGAACCCTTATTTCCCATAGGCATAATGGTAAAATGAGGGTTCTGTTCCTGGCCCGCTTTGCCTCCTGGGAGTTGTAGTCCCCAGTGCACTGTGCCCAGAGCCAGCCGGGGACTGTGCCAGGTGGAGGCGGTGCGGTACGGCACAACCTGCTTGCAGATCCAGCTGGGGCCAGTGCCAGGTGTAGGCGGTGGCTGGAACAGGGCGGTTGTAAATGCGGGGCTCATAAGTCGGGCGGTCATAAGTCAGGGGTCGCATGTAACAATTTTCAAGTACATAAAAGGTTGTTACAAGGAGGAGGGAAAAAAATTGTTCTTGATCTTTAAGGATTGGATGAGAAGCAGTGGGCTTATATTGCAGCAAGGGAGGTTTAGGTTGGACATTAGAAAAAATGTCCTAACTGTCAGGAATAAACTGCCTAGGGAGGTTGTAGAATCTCCATCTCTGGAGATCTTGAAGACGGGGTTTGACCGGCACCTGTCAGGGATGGTCTATATCAGTGGCTTTTCAAACTTTTTTTCTCATGAACCAGTTGAAGAAAATTGTTGATGTCTGTGACCTAATTTGACTAGAGTGTAGGCTCCAGGGTGGAGCTGAGGATGAGAGCTTTGAAATGTAGAAGGGAGCTCTGGTTTTGTGAGGGGGGGGTGTCAGGGCTGGGGCATCAGGGGTTTACATTCAGCAGCTCTTGGTCCGTGGTGCAGTGAGGGTGCTAAGTCAGATTTCCTGCCTCTCCCAGCACCACAGACCATGCTGTGCCCCAGAAGCAGCCAGCAGCAGGTTCCCAGCTAATGGGAGTGCTAGTGCTTGGAGTAGGGCAGTGTGGAAAGCCCTGTGCACTCTCCACCCCCATCCCCACCTAGAAGCTGGGCCTGTTGCCAGCTGCTTCTGGGACGCAGCACAGTCTGCAATGCCAGGACAGGCAGGTAGCCTGCCTTAGCACCCCTACTGGTCATCTGATCCCAGTGCAGCAACATGACCCAGTACTGGGTCATGATCTGTAGTTTGAAAACCACGGGTCTAGATGGTGCTTAGCTCTGTCATGAGTGCAGTGGACTGGACTAGATGACCTTTTGAGGTCTCTTCCAATCCTATGATTTAATGAAATAGGAAACAATTTTGTGTGGGTCGGCAAGTCTTTCAGTGGCAAGAAGTATTGAAAGCAGGCTGAAGTCTCTCCCCTGCCCTTAGCCTTTCTTTTCCTTGACCAAGTGACACAGGAATCCAAGTTGCAAGCTTTACCCTGGGTGATGTAATGGAAACAGACTCAATTTGAAATTGTCTGGCAACTGTGTAAAGATCACAAGGTAATAGTAACCACAAAGTGGAAGCTCTGTTCCAGGTGTGATGGCATTTCTCCTGCATGCTTTCCCTTCAAAGAGGAGATATAATTGAGCTATTACGTAATCAGATCTGATCTCATGCAGGCGAACTAGATAATTCATCCCAACATGGCCTCTTAAGATATTCAGGAAATAAATTCCATTCCTTGCCTGATGGTGTAAAGTTAGGCTACTTGTCAAAGCAACTAGAATCAGAGACAGCGAGCATACTGCCATTAATAAGCCCGGCCAGGGGAGTTGGGGAATGAGCTGATTCATTTTCCATAAGAAGAAGCCAGTGGAGCCTGATTATGATGGAAAGATTTTCTTTCCCTCAGCTGAAAATTCAGAGGACACACAGCAATGATTGCACTGTTTGCTCTTTCCCGGGATGATTCCTGAAAAGTGTATTAGGTGAGTTTCCTTAGTGGTGGCACAAGGAGCAAAGAATAACACCTCTATGGGCCAGGAAAGGCGCTTGCACCTGAAGGAGGCCCTGAGACCCTGAACAAAGTCTTATTTGCCATGCTGTGTTGCCTCCTTATGATTATGAGAAAGCATTGTTTTTTAAAAAGGAAATAAAATGAATAGATTCTCCAGTCCTCTCCTCTGGAAGCAAACTTGACTGCAGTGAAAGGGTCCTATCACAAGCAAAGGGAGGATATTTTTGTAGGTGTCATCTGTTAAAATATTGGCAGCCCATCACTGTGCCTTTCATAGTATTTTTTTTACTATGAAATTTTTTTTTTACAAATATACTATATTTGTTCTATTATTAATAAATAATAATGGTGCTTTCTAGACACAATAGGAAGTGACTCTAACAGGCATAAAAAGTGAGTCGGGTATAGATAGTTTAGCAGTGATGAAAGTTTTTGTTCCAGGATACAAGACCAGAAAGTGCTGCTGCTGTCACTGACCTCCACATGGCATTAGCATTCTGAAATTTTTTTTAGGTTTCAGATTGTCTGGACAGGCTTGCAATGTGAGACCCAGCCACTATGCTGGGAGCTGATTCTCTGTAAGCCCAATCCTCCAGGTACTGAGCATGCTTAACTTTCACTGAAGTCACTGTTAACTCAGGGAACTGGACACCTTACAGGATCAGGCCTTTTGTTGCCAGTGAGGTGATCTCTTTAGCACTTTGCTGAACAAGAATGATATTCTTTTGTCACTGATGGTCTCTAAAAAAAAGGAGGGGTCATCATATATTGTGGTGACATAAACTAAAGCAGGTAGATTTATCTATCCAATGGATTTATTATTGTAATACATTTGATTACAGTTACTGTATATCTAGTGAACCTTTTGGTATTGTTTCATTTGTGCTGATTTTAAAGTGTTTATTACTTGCTGGATTGAAAAATACTTAACCCCTAAGGATTAACCATCTGGGGATGCAGATGGTCAAAAACAAGTGATTTATACTGGTTTTTTGAGCAGCAATCATCAGGCAGAAAGAGATGACTAATGTGTGAAGTGACACCTCTTTTTGACTCATTCTCCATATGATCAGCTGTGCCATGCCACACAGTGCTGTGTTCAGAGCTTTTCTCTGCAGAATCCAAACATGGGTTGCAAAGTCTCTTTTGCATCAGTGTTCTCTAAGGGGGTGTGTCTAGACTACATGCCTCCTTCGACGGAGGCATGTAGATTAGCCAGATCAGAAGAGGGAAATGAAGCCGCGATTAAAATAATCACGGCTTCATTTAAATTTAAATGGCTGCCCCGATCTGCCGATCAGCTGTTTGTCGGCAGATCGGG